AAAAAAAAAAAAAAAAAAAAGCAGAGAAAGAGATGTATGTTGTTGGTGCAGAGAGGATAGCAGACTCCAAATAGTATACTTCTGGAACTCAGGCACGCATTGATTGATTAATTCATTCCTTCATTCATGGTTGAATGCCTGCACTAGGCTAGGCTTCTCTGCCAGGTGTTATGTAAAAATCATACTCCCTTCACTCAAGGAAATTGCAGTCTTATAGAGAAGACAAAGAAACTGTAGTGGAGTTACAGTTTGGGGTGTTAAGGGAGCCATGGCTGAGGGGTCTACTTTGGTTCTGTCTTTTGAAGGCAGCCTTCTTATGGGAACAAACACCTCATCTTATACCTAAAGGACAAGAGAGTTTTTCTTCTTCCTTGTTTCCTCCCCTTCTTTGCCACCCATCACCTGACTCTAACCACCAAGAGTTTTCTAAGTGGGGGGATGTTTCATGTAGCGGGAAGGAGAGAATGTAGGGACAAGATTATAGGATGTTACTCTCAGAAATGAAAGCTAACAGATATCAGTATAGAAGTTTGTGAGCTTAGCTATGTGCAGAAGGTTTATATATGTAGTTGAAAAAAGTGGGCTTAATTCCCAAATCTATAAGAAAGACTGCCTTCTCAGGTTATCCAGAGAGATCAAGTGAGCCAGTTGTGGTGGCTTGGGAAGTTGAGGCAGGAGGATCGGGAGTTCAAAGTCAGACTCAGCAATTTAGCAAAGTCCGAAGCAACTCAGCGAGACCCTGTCTGTACATAAAATATAAAAATGGGCTGGGAATGTGGCTGAGTGGTTAAGCATCCCTGGATTCAATCTCCGATACCAAAAATAATAATAACAAGAAAATATACACATACACAAAAGAGAGATCAAATGAATCCTTAGGAATAGAACTACTTTTTAAAAATGCATATATAGAGCTGGGGGGATGTGGCTCAAGCGGTAGCGTGCTCGCCTGGCATGCATGCGGCCCGGGTTCGATCCTCAGCACCACATACAAACAAAGATGTTGTGTCCGCTGAAAACTAAAAAATAAATATTAAAACTCTCTCTCTGTCTCTCTTAAAAAAAGAATCTACTCTTTAAAAAAATGTATATATAAACTACATAACTGTAGTATAATGTCCTGGTATTCACTCAGGTGATTCATTTCTACAACTGAAAAAGTGAAGACTTTATTCCCTACTTACCTGTTAGGGCTCCAAGGAAATAGAGGACAGCATCCATAGCCTCCTTTGATAGTACAATATCTTTTGGGAGTGCCTCCAGGGTTACTTTATGTCCCTTGTCTAGAGCCCCTTCAAGCTGTGGGAAAAGGTAGATGACATTTAAGATTGCCCAAACAAGCCTGGTGTGGTGATGCACGCCTGTAATCCTAGGGTCTTGGGAGGCTGAGGCAGGAGGATGGGAGGTCAAAGCCAGCCCCAGCAGTGAGGCCCTAAGGAACTCATTGAGACATTGTCTAAGTAAAAAAAGTAAATAAAATAAATAAAAAATATTATATATATATATATATTTATTTATTTATTTATTTTAGTTTTGTGTAGACACAATATATTTATTTTTTTGTGGTGCTGAGGATTGAACCCAGTGCCTCACGCATGCCAGGCGAGTGCACTACCACTTGAGTCACATCCCCAGCCCTAAGTAAAATATTAAAAAGGGGTGAGGATGTGGCTCGGTGGTTAAGTGCCCCTGGGTTCAATCTCCGGTACCAAAAAACAACAAAAAAGATTGAACAGGTGGTACACCTGATACGTGATAGTCCCTCCATACATGGCACTTCTCTCCCTTTTCCCAGTTTCTCTTGTAGTAACAAATCCTGTAAAGGATTAGACTCCTGCATTCCTTGGTTACTGGATTCTGGACTCTGGAAAGGTTCTGGCTCCTTCTAGCAGAGGCACTTTTGGTCTACTGTTCACTTTCTGTCCATCAAAGGGAGTGTGTGTCTCAGGGAAACCTGTATGGTTTGGCCTTTTTCAGGGGACAGAGAGGGCAGTGGTCACCTGGTAGCCTGGGGGGCACTTGTCCAGTGTCAGGGAAGTTATTTTCCTGGCGATTGGCCACTTTTGGCCTCTGTCAGGTATCCCCACCAAGAGCAGTGTCCCAAATGCCGGCCACCCAAACCCCTCCTTCTGCCACACCTCCCATCCGCCTGCTGGGGACTTACCGCGAGCTCTAGGTCTTGGAGTTCTTTTTTCTTCCCTAGAAGTTTGCTAAGGGAGCTGAGCAGGGAACTTTGCCCCACTCGACTCAGCTTCTCCACTTCTTGGGTCTCTCTCTGAACCTCTTCTTTCAGTGTCCCAAAATCCTCATGTACCTCCCCTATGAGGACAGGAAATATACACACCAGTCCTTCAACCGACAGCCTCTCCTCCCTTTTAGAAAGTGTTCTCCCCTAGGCTCCTCCCCTGGCCCCACTCAGGGCTCCATCCCCTGCTTCCAGCTGGAGATGGCCTTGTTTTCCTTGCCAAGGATCAGAGTTATGAAGTTATCCTCCAGCCCCAACAGAAGGGGTGGGGCAAGGCAGTATCATGTAACCCAACAGTTAATCATCCTGAGACCCCAGGCCTCATCCTGTATCAGTAAGCAAATGACTTCCCATTCTCAGAGATGCCAGCTAAACGCTGAGAGGAAGGTCTAATCCCCCTTCTCAAGATTTAGTAGACAAGGGAGAATGACTTTGGTGACCTCCTCAAGGCCAAGACGGGGATGCTTCAGAGAGCAGTGGCTCTGTATCCAGAGAGAGTATGAACAAGAACCTGGCCCTCTCGGGGCCTGGCATCCAGGGAATACATTGATTCTGCACCGGAAAGAGTGGTTCCCTGGAAGTGGCTCCAAACCCTAGAACCTGGCACTCAGCCCTTGCCTGGCCTTTCCTCTACTCTAATGCTTCTCCCTCTACCTTCGTGCCAAAATCTTGGAAGAAACAAAATTCCTTACCAACATCAGATGCCTGGATAACTGAAAAACATAAGAAAAAACAAATAAAATAGATAAGAATGCAGACTTTCAGATTGGCAGCCATCCCCAGGGGATGAGACACTAATCGGAATGCGGTAACAGGTCCAGTCTGGCTCCTGGGAGATCCCAACTATCTTAAAGATACTCTTGCACCATTCCTGGGAATCAGGAATGGGTCAGGAGAAGAGCTATCAGGAATGTGAAAAGGGGCATCCAGATGGAGTTGGCATCACTGTGACTCAGTTTGTGTCCCAGATCCTGGGTGGCAGAGTAACATATATGTTTGAAATAGGTTATAGCTTCCAAGGACTTTGGGGATAAAGGTCTGAGGTATCAGACCACCCGGGTATCTTGTCCAAAGGTCTCCCCCTTCCACTGCTTTTTCCTAAGCTAGCAGAATTTCTGCCACGTGTCAGGGACAATTGCTAATGAGACCCGCTCTGCCCTCTTCCCTGTCAGTCTCATGCAGGAGGGGAAAAGACTAGTGTTTTTTAAACTAGAGTCAAGAAAGTTGCAGTGGACTGATAGGATCACTTACGTGCGCATTTCCCCTCTCCTGGCTTTTCTAAAGAGAGAAACAATGCACATCGGTCAGCGTAAAACTAATTTCTGCCTTTTTTGTCTAAAGCATCTGTCAAGGTAGCTTCATGGGGGATGATTATACAAACACATGGAGATCCTGTTAGCTCATCCACCCCCACAATTTGGCAACATACACTGACTCCAAGTCCTGTTTCTGCTTCCGATTGTGTCTCTGGTCTCTGTCCTTCTCTCTGTCCCTTGTGGGCACTATTTATATACCTCTGTCTTTCCTAAAGTTGAGGATAGATATTCTGGGATGTGGGAGACAAAAGCAGGGGGCTCCCAGAGGGATTACAGAATCTGCTAGTAGGGGGCAGGGCAGGAGCTGTGGAGAGCCAGTTCACTTACCTTCTGGAGGGAAGGTTTGCATGCTGTCATTGCAGATGTGGGGAATATCTGCAAGGAGCAAGAGAAGAAGATCAGGAGGTCGCTTACCCTTCTTTCTCCAGCCTCAAGCCCAAGGGCCCCTTTCTCAGGGCTAGATCCTGTCCCTCAAATGGCTCATCTAATTCTCCACTTGACCTCCACTACAGGAAGTTTGAAGTTCTCTCCTAGATAGCACTGTTTCTACTTGGCATCCTAGTATTGGCATTGATCCTCCTTTGGTTTCTTGAGAGTGGAGGCTGATTTTGTTTAGTTTTATGTCCCTTGTCCCAGCCTCCACAATGCCTAGCACCCAGCAGATGCTCAGAACCCAGAAGCCCCTTCCCCCTTCCTCTGGAGCAGGCCCTGTGGCTCAGTCCCCAGCACTGGATGATACCATACACTCCTTCTGCCATTCCCTGACATGGCCACAAGAGGGGACCAGGATGCTTCGGTAATGATGCGAGTAATTGTCATAGGGAAAAATCTTCCAGGACTCCGCTCACCCCATTCATCTTTGCCATTGACCATCAGCTGTCTCACTCGAAAGGCTAGGACGCAGCCCTTGGGGATGGTTACAGCCTCCTTGTGGTTTACAGATCCCTAGGATTAGACAATGAGGATTTGTGAGTCTGCAGAAATCCTAAGCATGAGACATTGGGAGTGGTGGTGAGGGCAGGTGGAAAGCCAGGCCTGAGAGCTTTGGGGAGATAGCAAGTTGGGAACCATTCAGTGGTGTCCCAGATCATCTTTCTATCCAGTCTGAACTTGTGGAACGGGCTTTGAAGCCCTCCCACTCATTTCCAGTGCCCATCCAGGATTCTTCCTGGTTCAGATGCATGAAAGGAACTGGGCCAACCTGCTCCATCAAGTACCTGTGCACCACCCTGTCCTACCTCCAGGCCCTGGTTCCTTCTTTCTCTTCTCCATCTGTCCCTTGCTTACCTCATTCAGAAGTCTTTCATGACTAATCTCTCCTCCTGGCCTCAAATGCCAAATCATGTTGAATATTTACACTTACTAGGTATAGGTATGTGAGCCTTGCTTATTTCCATTGAATTTCCCAAGACTGTAGTCTCTGGGCTTTAACCGATGCATCTTGACTTTGAGCCTGAGAACTTTCTGTGAGCAAGGAGCTCTGTTGTTTAGCTTGGGAGCACTATGAGGGAAAACTCAGGAGCATGTTTCCCCTTCCCAATATTCCCTGTGGTGTCTGGAACAGAAATCTGCTCACACTGGGCACCATCAACTGGTGAAGGGGGTTGTGTCTGACCAACTAGGATTTGGATCTTGAGGAGCTAGGAGAAGGGGTAAGTCAGTAAGTCTTCTTCAGTATCCTTAGTGGGCACCTGTCCAGCAAAGTTAATGAAACCTCTGGGAATGTAAGTGCGTGTGTGTGTGTGTGTGTGTGTGTGTATTTGGACCAAACCTGTAGTCCCAGTGGGGCAAAGAAGGGGAGGGAGAAGCAGCCCTCTGCCTTGCCGGCTCTCTCCAGAGTGACCTCCTGTACCGTCTCCACCACCTCCATCACCACGTATAGGTTCTCACCACGATCTCGCATCTCCTTCAGGAAAGGGTGATCTGCTGCCAGCTTCCTGTGTGGCAGAAGAAGGATAAGGGGACCATCCAGAGCTTCTCCCCACCTGGACCATGCCCTCCTCTTTTCTATGGTCATTTGTAGGAACTGGACATTATGGTGACAGGGAAGGAGTGAGGACTATGGGATCAGTCTGAGTTGGAAACCCAGATCAGCCACAGCTTCTCTGAGGCTTAGTTGCCTCATCTATAAAAGGAGGATAAAGATGGTTCCCTCCAGTGTGGAGGCAAACCAGGTCATCATTTGGCACAGAACCTGGCCCAGAAAGGGCCTCATGGTTGCTTCCTTTCTCCTTCTCCTTCTGCCCGGTCATGATTCTCCTTCCTTGCCTTCCGCTTCATCTCTTCTGGGTTCATCTCTTGCCATGAACACCAGTCTCTCCTCTCTTTTAGCTCCTTCTGTTTACTTCCACATATAAACATGTCCCTAATCCTAAAAATTCACTTCCTTTGATCCAGTTACTCTTTCAAATGACCATCCTTTTTCTTTCCTTTACTTTGTTGGCAAATATCTCAAAAGACCCAACTGTACCCACTCTCTAATTCCTTACTGCCCTGAATTCTGAATTGTCTATAACTTGGCTTCTATTTCCCCAACTTAGCTGAAATCACAATGACAAAAATCAGTGTTCATCAAAATCAATGACACTGCACCTGCTGTCCAAGGCAACTCTGTCTTCTCTTGGTTTCTGAGCACACTGTACCATGCTGGTTCTGCCCCTGTCTTTCTGGCTCCTGAATCTTATCTATTCTGTCTGAATCTCCTTTTCCAGTTTATTTGGCTCCCTAAAATGCTATGTTCTCTGAGATCTTGTTCTCACTCCTCTGCTCTTGGAACTCCCTCCAACTCCCCCCGCCCCAGTTTCTACAGTATTATTTTGCTGTTCAACACATATGTGTCTTTACTTGAGGGTCCAAAGCACCTTCTCACTCCTGATCTCCAGGTCCTTGAGTCCAACGACCTGTTAAACATTCTCAGCTGATGCCAAAGCAGAACCACAAATTTAAAATGTCTAAGAGAAACTCACAATCTTTCTCTACAGATCCACTTCTCACCTCTGTCTTCTTATCACCTGTAATGTCACCTTTAATGTCTCATAATGTCACAATCTGGGTCAAAACGCAGGGTCATCTTTGACAAAATCTTTGCCCTCACCCTGCAATCAGCTGCCAAGCCAAGTCTATTCTATTGCCTTTATTATTATTATTATTATTATTAGTAGTAGTAGTAGTAGTACTGGAGATTGAATCCAGTGTCACTTAACTACTGAGTCACATCCCAGCCCTTTTTGTAGTTTATTTTGACACAGGGTCTTGCTAAGTTGCTTAGGGCCTCACTAAATTGCTGAGGCTGGCCTCGAACTTGTAATCCTCCTGTCTCACCCTCCCAAATTGCTAGGATTACAGGCATACCCCACTGCATCTGGCCATTCTATTGCCCTCTGCAAAGAATAGGCTGTCCATCTGTTCCTCTGTCTTCATTCCAGCTGTTCTCGCCCAGCTCTTGTGTCATTTTACATCTCTGATGGATAGTAGAACGGTATCTTTCCTGGTTCTCAAACCCCCCCTCCCTCTTCCTCTATCCAACAACTTCCTCCATGTTGTCATGGGACACATCAGAGCCTACACATCCACCTCCTTTCTTTGGCCCTGCTCCTCCGTGAGCCGAGTCCACCCTACATCTTCTTCTTATTCCACGGGTGCCTCTTTTGCACCTGCCAGATGGGCTGTTCTTACTGGTTTTGAGAGGTCTCACCTGTGTGTCTTCTCCCAGCCCTGTGTGTATAATTTCTTTTCATCTTTCAAGCCCTAGATCATGGGCCACACCACCTCTTTGGGGTCTTACCTTCTTTCCCTGATGAGAAGTTCCTATGGCCTTCCACAAGGTTCATTCCCCTGGCACTGACCACTTCTTGTCTTGGATTTTAGTAATTGTGGCATGTTAGTTTTCACCTTCCTAGGTCACAGAGTTCTTGGACAAAGATGCTCGAGGGGTACCCAAGCCCATCACCTGCTAGATGCTTTGCATTCAACCAGAGTCGTGTAAATGTTTACTGCGTAACTTCTGAACACTCCAGCCCTTCCAGCTGGACTCCCCAGTCCTTACCTCTTCTTTTAACCACTACTTAACTACTTGAAAGTCAGTTCCCCCATCAAGCCAAACATGCATGGAGCCTAGCATCAATGTGGCATCTGCCACACCCCTTGTGCTGCTGGGACAGCATTCCCGAGGGTGTGCTTGGTGTGTGTATGGGGCCAGGCAGGAAGGTTCACTTATGGGAGCAGACCACTGGGCTCATGCTTCAGGAGGGAGCAGTTTAGGATCGGGCCCCTCCCCATTCTAGGGCATTTAATAGTTCTAGAGTTGGAAGGAATCTTAGAAATGATCATCTAACTCTATCATTCAGAAAACTGAAGTTTTGAGAGAAATGACTTTTCCAAGGTCTCATGAATGTGGATGCATTCATCCCCAGGTGTGTGTGACCCTGGGGGTAGTGAAGGATAGAAAGGAGTGCTTAGGAAATGCCCTGAATACACGCCCTGTGGTGAGCACATTGGCATAGGTCAGTGTGAGGGTCTCACCCTTTCACTCAGGGCCCAATGCACCCTTTCCATGCCCTGCCCCACCCCACCCTGCTAGCCCCTGTGCCCTTTCCATTCTCACCTCTCCTCGTGCAAGGACTCCAGGGCTTTGGGAGCCACACTGAGTGTCTGGACCTCCAGCGTGCTGTTCCTGGAGAGCCCTGCAGTCCCCCTCACCTTCACCGTCTTTGGTACATCCACCTCTCCCTCCACTCGGGCGTCCAGCATATTCTTAAAGCCAAAGTTCCCAGAGTCTGTTGGATCTGCAGGAAGGAGAAGATAGAAGGGTCTGGGGTGAGAGGCATTCTATGTCCCCTGTTCAGCTCCTAATGAATATGTCAAGGAGATGACTCCTAACCATAGCAGGTCAGAGAGGAGCTTCCCAGTCCTCCTCATGGAGCAGGTGCCTGACTCTGACCTGGCAGCACCCCTCAGAATCCAGTCCCACGGCTGAGGCTCACCTGAGGGTGAGTTGCCAGGCTCAAGAACATCCAGAAGGGTGTAGTCGGTGCGGACATAGCGGGCCCCCCAGAACAGTGTGCTCTTCCTCTTCCTTAACACCAGGCAGAAGGGGTGAAAGCGCTTGAAATCAATGAGGCTGTCCAGGGGTGTTAAGTCCCCTCGAGGGTTTAGCTGTCTGGCCAAGGCCCGGGTGACATTTTCAAACATGGTCATTGTCCCTGTGAGGAGAGAGATGAGTCTGTCGAGATGGCTGCCAAGGACCTGGTAAGGTCCCTGCAGTGGGGAGCCACCCTGCTCTGGGGCAGGGGAAGCTCTTACAGATGCCTGGATTCTCAAATGTTAGACCTGGAAAGAACCCAAGAAGTCTTCATGTTATGGTGAGGAGTCTCGGGTTCCAGAGCTTACATGGTGGGCTAGGGAAGCCACAACCAAAGGGCTCTTTTCTCAGTCTACATTCTTTATTTCCACAGTCACAGAGCCTGGATGGAGCATTTCATTAGTTGTAGAAGTGAAGCTTTCTCTCACACCCGGGAGCAGCCATTGCTAGGGAATGCTGGGGTCAAGGTGCCGGAAGGCAGAGCTGGGCACTGCACTAGCTGCCCTTGGTGGATGAGGGTTCACCTCCCATCATGGTGGCTGCCCCACTGCTCCAGGCCTGTTGATGTTCTTTGCTTTTGTTCTCTCTGCTTTTCATATCCTCTTCCCAACCTAAAGCATTCCTATTCATTTTTTAAGACTCAATTTAGGTCACTCCCTGGTGACACCTCCCCTCACTCCTTCAGGCATCTGGTGACTTCACAGCCAAGTGCTGTGTACATCTCCTGAAACACCTGCCACTTCTTGTTGTTATGATCTCTTCACCTGACTCACCTACGCTACTGTGACTTCCCCGACAGCTGGCAATGGGTCTTAGTCACCTCTGTAGCATCAGTACCAAGTCAGTGCCTGGCACAGAGTTGGAGCTTGGCAAATGAGTGCAGAAAAGAAAAAAGAAAGAATGAATGAATGAATGAATGAATGAATGTAGCCCTGGGAGACACACGCTGGGGTAAGAGGGCCTCAGAGAATGTGGGGCCTACGAGAGCCCGAGGTTCACCATCTTAGGTCTCTGTGTTTGATGTTCAAGTCCAGGTGCTCTGCTGGGCAGCTGGAGGCACACCCAGATTATCCCTGTGGGTGGAAGAGAACCTACCAGCTGGCCTGGAAGTGCCTCGCTTTCTTGTGGTACCTCACAGAGTCAGGGAAGTGGAGGCACAGTCACAGATGTGTGGGGCCATTCCTCCTGCTCCAATGTGCTTTGTCACCCCTTACTCCTGGGAGGGCCATGATGGGCTAGGACCACCTCTTGGGGATAAGTGGGGGCACATGGGATTCCTCACCAGAGAGGCACTCACTGGGCCACCTCCCCTTCCGTCCCCAGGATCTATCAGGATACCTACCCGATTGCCCTTCGGGTCCCACTCAGCTCCTTAGATCACCAAATTGTCCCCTGCCTCCTCTCCCAGTCATCAAATTCTTACCAGGGAATGATGCTCTGGGTCCTTCAGGAAACCCGGTGTGGAGTGAGGGCCCAGGGCTTGCTCTGCCTGTAGGTTGAGAGGATGACTGTCCTTTGCCAGGAGAGGCTGCTTTATGCCTCTGTGGAGACAGGGATATAGGCTTCAAGGGACCCCGCCTGCCCCGGTGACCCCACCCCCTCCCGCTCCACTTCCGGGAGAACAGCATCAACCTGTTCCAGGTGCGCCTTGCCCCAGGCCCCCAGGCTCTGGCATCCAAAGGGCTGAGGGGGTGGAAAGGGTGCTGCCAGGAAGGTGTCAGCGTAGGTGGGGGCAACCGGGCCAAGAGCTAGGTGGCAGGTGAAGGTTAGTTTGTGGCCATCTTTGGGAGATACAGAGAGGCAGAGGGAGTTGGGGTGTGTGTGCGTACACACGTGTGTGTGTGTGTGTGTGTGTGTGTGTGTGTGTATGTGTGTATGAATGAGGAGGGACGGCATCTTTGTTTTGATGTGAACGTGGTCTATCAGGAAGCATCTGGGATTCATGGTAGGCCTTACAGGTGCGATAAGGGGATAAGATTCCAGGAGAGATTCCCAGAGAGAACAGAGCCGCTGAGAAGTTGTTCTTCACCGTCCTGTGTGTCAGCCTGCCCATCCCCGCCTCAGTGCATTTGTTTTAGCCCCATATACATATCTCTGGTACCGCTAGATACGTAAGTCTGAGTAGGCAGAGACGGAGCTAGGCCAGGAGGTTTTCTGTGTCAAGTGTTCTGTGTCTCAGCTGCTCATGGACATGTCCGTCAATGGAGGAGGCAGAGGCATAGCAGCAATATTACTGGAAAAGCCCAAGATGCCTGTTGAGGGGGGTCAGGAGTCTCACTGTAGGTCACTCAGGTCCTGCTTCTGTCTTCTGTCTGTGCCTGGAAGGAATTTTAAAGGAGACCTGACACCCATGCCCAGCTCTGTAGATGACAAGTTAAGGGATTTCCACGCAAGGCCTGTAGCGTGGGGCTCCGTGGTCTCGTATGTGTGCACACGGGTCCTGACCACCCTTGAGCTGTTGTGTTCACCGTGAGGTGTTCCTCAGCAGTGCTCATGGAAAAACTTATGCAAATGCGAAGGACGTGAAGAGTATGATTGATCTTTTCTGGAGGTTTCCTTGAAGAGCTGGCGGTGAATGGGAAGATGAGACCACCCAGACTCAGTAAAACTCCCTAAACATTTTATTACTCTACTTTTGTCTTCAAGGTCTCATTCAGTGTGACAGATGCTCCCATATGGCTCCTCCCTATGTTTTAAAACAAAACAAAACAAAATGAAAACCACCTTGCCTTTGCCTCTCTGGTCCCCACTCCTTACCACACTGCTTGCTTCCCTTCCCATCCACCCGTGCCCTCTTTGTGTATCTATCAAACACTTCCTCCTTCAACACCTGTAACCGTTGCATGGGTCATCCAATGTCCCTGCTCCTTAGAAGAGGCAAAGTTGGAGAGGTGGGTGTGTGGGAAGGTTGTCATTAGTCTTTTGGTCCCTGTCACAGTGTGTATGTATGTAGAAATGTGTTGTATGTTGTCCTGAGTGTGCTCTGTCATGAACACAGAGATGAAACACATTTGTGTCTTGCCATGATGTCAGAATTTATTGAATAACAATAAATTCACAGGCTAAACCACTTTAATCAGCGGCAGTTTACTGAATACCTGTGAATCATCTGGTAGTCCTAAATCAGGCAATCACAGATTTTTAAATTTTAATCTTAGTGTTTAATATCTATAACACTCTCAAGTCACAAATTCTACTTTATACGTGTGTGTGAGTGTGTGTGGGTTACTGAAAGGTTAAGAAATGGTTAAGGCAGTCACAGGGGTTTGGAGGGCTGAACTCAGAGTAAAGACAGAGTATCTGAATGTAATGTCCCTGTAGGTAGTCAGCCAAAGAAATTATTGTTAAAACTTATTTTAGGCCAAGATTCAGAGGGACAGCAGTTTCACAGTGTCACCTTGGAATGTCAGTTTGAGACGTCAGAATGGAGTGGGACTTGTGTGGTCATCTGGGCCAGGAGAAACTGAATGCTGCTAAAACCCAAGGATAGAGACTTGGAGGTTTGTCACTGTGACGATTTTCCTGGAGAAAGCTGGTAACGAGTGACCAGAGGATGAGGTCAAGGTGCCACTGTGTCTACTCTTGGGGTGGTTCTCCTTTTATGGGTCTCGGATGAGGTGGTTGTTTCTTTTGGTTGTCTGGTATCTCCGATATGAGCGTGATACACCCATGCATCCATATGCTTTTGATTAATTCGATAAGTTCACAGGTGGTCATTCTTATTAGCATGACTAATTTATTTATTTATGCCTTGTGGTTGTGTCAGGCAGATAGTGGTTGTTGTTTATTTGTATAAACAAGATATAGAGACATTACACCTCAGCACTTAAACTCAAAATCGAGTAGCTTATGGTGAACAACTGCTTTAAAAAAATGGAGTTACAAAGTTTTAGGAACAGCCTGAAAACTGCTGTTCTATACATCATGGATTAACTCAGAGCAGAACGTAGCTTGCTCTCCACATATGTTATATAGTTTCCATCTGTCTATTAACCTGGTTCTTTCTGGATTTCTGTCTCTTTGAATCACTGCATCGATAAGACACTTGCAATCCAGCATAAAGCCCTGGGGCTGTGCAGTCTTCTGTCCCGTAATCAGCCCTAGGGAAGGAAGCACCATTCTCTGCCTTCTTGCCAACCCACTTTTGCCTCTGCCAGACTTTTGCGATTTTCTTCCTAACGTCTATCTCCTTCCAGGGGCTGAAGGTCAAGATCTAGCTCATTTTCTAAATATTTGGAGAACACTGGTTTAGGAAAGTCATGTGTGTTTCTGCTCTGAGGACTCAAAAAATCCACCTAGCTGACTTTTTCTCCTCTGGCCCACAAGTCTTGCTCCTTTCATATCTCTTGCCTTCCTTTGTCCACTCTGATCTCTCCAACCTGTCCTCATTCTCCTTGTCCCACCTCCACCCCCACTCCACCCCATTGCACTATTCCACGAAACTGCCTGGTGATGTTCTAAGCATGGGGTTTACAAGATTCAAGGAAGAGAGAAGATATAAAGGCTTGTGAGGTCAGACAAAAGTCCGTGGGATGTTCCTTTCTCCCTTCCTTCTCTCTCTCTCTCTCCCTCCCTCCCTCCCTCCCTCTCTCCTTCCACTAGTGATTAAACCCAGGGCCTTATGCAGACTAAGCAACTGCTCTACCACTGATCTGTACTCCCAGTGCTTAGAGTTTAAATTGCACTGTAAGAGATTTTAGTTTGATAAATCTCAGGCAACGTCATAGGTTCAATCCCCAGTATTAAAAAAGTTAAATTTAAAAAGTGACGAATCTGTAAGAACTCTTTGGGTCAATTAAAAGTGACTAATGCTGAAACTGGCCCATGCAGGGTGGGGAGTTGTGCATGGTGCTGAGGCAGGTGGCCGGCTTTGCTTTGCTCTTCATCTCCCTCTGGTGGCCAATCAAGGTAAGTGATAGGAGGAGGACCAAGTTTATGATTTGTGTGGGGTTGCTTAAAATGTGTGCGGGACTCTGAAAGAGAATAATTGCCTTAATTTATGCAGGAAGCCCCAGCCATCTGCTCTTTGGAAAATATTTAAAAAAAATTTTTTTGTTGTTGTAGATGGACACAATACATTTATTTTTATGTGGTGTTGAGGATCAAACCCGGTGCCTCACACGTGCAAGGCGCGTGCTCTACCACTGAGCCACAACCCCAGCCCCTCTTTGGAAATCTTAATGTCTGTCTGATCCAGAATGTGCTCAGCAGACACACATTGGGCCAGGGCCTTATTTCCTTTTTATTTTATTTATTTATTTTTTTTTAGAGAATTTTTTTTTTAATATTTATTTTTTAGTTTTCGGTGGACACAACATCTTTGTTGGTATGTGGTGCTGAGGATCGAATCTGGGCCGCACGCATGCCAGGCGAGCGCGCTACCGCTTGAGCCACATCCCCAGCCCAGGGCCTTATTTCCTTACTCATTTTTTCTTTTTATTGTGGTTGATTTTTCCTTTTGGAAAGGGCCAAAAAGGGAAAGAGAGAAGGATAGATGGTGATAGATAGGTGGAAGCCACTGACTGACACAGGCAAGAATGGGAATAAGCTGCAATTCTGTGGATTATGGGAAGAATCAGGAACACACTTGTAGGACAGGGGAACCCCTTGTATAAAATGGGATGCCTGGAGAATTTATAGCAGTGACCCCTCATACATATATGTTTACTGACCTTCTCTGAGAAAAATGAGGTGGAAAAGCTGGAGATGAAGATGGGTTAGAATGGGGATGTGACTGTCTGGTGGAGGGGTAGGAAGAATGCTCACAGGGTGCTGTGTTTTATATCTCATATGGGAGGCTGGAACTTTTGGTGTGCAGATCACAGATTGTGAGCTATATTTCCACAAATGTTCCAATCTGAACACAGCAAAACTCCCACACTGTTTTCTTTGTTCTTCTTTTTGTAGCACTGGGGATCAAGCACAGGCTTTGTGCAAGCATGCTATCACTGAGCTGCAAACCCAGCCCCTCCCATTCTTTCCTTATCCCCTAAAAATGTTGAGGTTTCTTCCTGAATTACTAAATCAGCTTTGGAGCTCAAGACACCCCCAAACTCCTAGTTGAGTAGATATTAACGTTCAGCTTGATGTGCATCAAGTTTAGTGTCAAATTTCAAGGTGTCAGCCCTGACTCCACTCCCCACTGCCAATTTCCTTGCCCATTGGGCTCATTCAGCCAAGGATCACACTGCCAGTGGCAGCCTGAACCCAGATAAGTTTCCTCTGTCAACTGATCATCCAGCACCCCAACTCTTCCTGAGCCCCTGCTGATGGATGTGACAGGAGTAGGAGTCTGAGCTCTCGTCTATCTTGTAGCCCTCTTGATGGATGTCATCCCTGACCCTTGCTAAAAAAAGACTGGGTCCTAGATGGAACCTTCATATCTAAGGCAAGTTTGGAGTCAAAGCTCCTTTTTTTTTTTTTAACCAGCTCCTCCAGGCCTGTCCCAAGCCTCATTCATTCTATATTTCTTAGCCAGAGTTGGGGATCTTTTTTTTTTTTTTTAAAGAGAGAGAGAGAGAGAAAGAGAATTCTTTAATATTT